GTCCTTCATTCCTGAACAACAAAAGGCAGCAGACAGACGCATTCATGCAGTCAAACACAGGTCATTAGCATGTCAGCACTAATTGGACAAGACCCCCCCCAAACCCCGCCCCCCCCCCCCCCCCCCCCCCCCCCCCCCCCCCTTCTGTTTCTGTCTGAGTCTGGTCGACCGTGCTAATTAAAGCAGGAAACACACAGATCGTTAGCATTTAGAGAAAAACAAATCAATTAAACACAGTTTAACACAGTCGTCCAACAAACTGCTCAAAAACAACTCCGGCTTCGGCCGAGGACGTGTCACAGACGTGAGAGGACGCCATTGGCTGACGCTCTAGGAGAATGGTGCATCTCATTCAATAGGATTTTTCATCTTTTATTAACGTGTCGGGACTCGAAGGATTTCTCACTGTTGTTATCAACTGGTCCTTGGTCCAAATGCCAGAGGAGATTCAGGAGGAGGAAACCATCGATTCATTGATCTGAGGGAGAACGAGGCACAGGGAGAGGGAGAGAGAGAGAGGGAGAGAGGGGGGGGGTGAACGACGTTAGTATGGGTTAAAATAAAGACAGAGGACAGACATAAAAACACACTGGTGTGAACTTCCACGACTGTGGAAATTACAGTCGACGACGACAGAACGAACAGAGGCTGTTCATCTGAACCACGTCCTTCACGGACTTAAATGTTTCGTTTTTTTTCTTCTTTCCTTCCTTCCTTACTTACTTCCTTCCTTCTTTTCTTCCTTCCTTCCTTCTTTACTTCCTTCCTTTCTTTCTACCTTCCTTACTTCCTTACTTCCTTACTTCCTTCCTTCTTTTCTTCCTTCCTTTTTTTCTTCCTTCCTTTTTTCCTTCCTTCCTTACTTACTTCCTTCCTTCCTTCCCTCCTTCTTTCCTTCCTTCCCTTCTTTCTCTCTTCCTTCCTTTTTTTTTCTTCTTTCCTTCCTTCCTTCGTTACTTCCTTCCTTTCTTTTTCTTCTTTCTTTTTTCTTCCTGCCTTTCTTTCCCTCTCTCTCTCTCTCTCTCTCTCTCTTTCCATCGTTTATAACGATCCCTCATTGGCAGACCTGTGCCTCGACCCTGGACTCCCAGGCGCAGACGTCTGATTGGCTGTGAGCTCTCAAACAATGGTGCCACTTAACCCTGTGATGTCAGCTCACTGTTATTAATCACAGTCTTTGTGACAGATGGAAAAGAACAGAGTGATACCATTCAATGAACACCACGATGGGAGGGAATATTAAACCTGGTGTGCTTGGAAAAGAACAGACTGATGGTCTAGTGGTCTGGTCTAGTAGTACTGCAGTACTACAGTAACACTGTAGTACTGCAGTACTACAGTAATACTGTACTAATGACTGTATTTAGTACTAGTAGTAGTAGTAATTTATTAATAATTAATTAGTCTCTGAAAACCTTAAAGTTCAAAAACATGATTGAATCCTTCATCCAGCCTTCATCCAGCCTTCATCCAGCCTTCATCCATCCACCTGTAGTTCCTTCTCTCCGTCTCATTATGAACTTCAGACCTGAACGTCAGGTGTCACCTCCACCTACCTGTTATGTAATACCTCCATCCACATGGTGGCGCTGTGATCTTCAGGGAGGTGACACAGCTGCAGGTCTGAGGTTCAAACGCGTTCTGAATCCACACAGAGGACGAGAACAAACGAGAACAAACGAGACAGTGTGTGTGGCGCTCCGTTTAAATTCCTGAAAAGACGAGGAAGAAGTCACTGAAATGTTCCAATTCTTGACAAGACAAATAGAACCGACGTCGGCGCCGCCTGGAGCAGAACCAGGCCAGAGAACGGGGATGTGGGCGTGTCCCTGAGTTCACCAATCCTGTTGTAGAACATGATTTGAACATTTGTTCATGTTTGTGTGTGTGTGTGTGTGTGTGTGTGTGTGTGTGCAGGACCACAGCGTAGACAACAGTGGAGGCGTCCAGGTGCTGTCGGAGTGTGAAGACCTGAAACAGGAGCAGTCTCGCATCAGCCGGCTGGAGAGACAGGCCCAAGACTTCCTCAATGCTGTGTTCCACAGAAAAGGTAACACACACACACACACTCACACACACACACACACTCTTTTCATTTATTTCTCAGCGTTTTAGCATCACTGCGTTTCCTCCGGGGATGAATTACTAGAATATCTGAGCCAGAAAATTTGGTTAATCCCCACGAGGAGGAGTTTGACTCCAGCAGGAGATCAAATATATATAAATATATACAGGGAGACGTATGAAATACTTCAGATACTGGAGACCGTTTTTTTTTTTTTTTTTTTTTTTAGGTACTGAAGTAAAAACTAAATCCTTTTTTGAGGTGGAAAAAAAAATTCAGTAATGAAAACAGTGGAACTGAATAATTTTCACATTATTTTTCTCCATCGTGATCCTCGTGACGTTTTTATGGGGTTAAATCACAGACAGTGGGAGAAATATTGTAAAAATAAATTTTTAGAAAAAAATCCTAATGTGTTACACAGGTGATTAGAACTGATTAGACAAAAAAATTCCTAATGTGTTACACAGGCAATTAGAACTGATTAGACAAAAAAAATGGGTTAAAAAAAGTGGTAAAATGTCATTTTTTGTGCAAAAATACTATTTGGTTTTTTGTTTTTTACTTTTATAATTTTTACTGTAGTTTAACTACACTACACATGTATGTTCTATTATGTTATGTTCTATATGAAAAGCTCAGTATCGTCGGCATATTGTGAGAATTAAAAAAAACACAAAAAAAACTTTATATATACTTTATATAGGGGTTGCTGGTTAGATTCCCGACGGACGCCACATGTAACTTCACCAGACTTTACATGTGGAACAAAGGAGTCTCTGCCCTCTAGGTAGACCTTAAACTGGTTCAGATCTGGGCCAGAGAAGCTGACCCACTTTCCTGACCTGTTACTGCAGGAACACCGTGTGGGGAAACTAAAGCGTTCTTTTACACGCCGCTGGTATAATGACTTATGGGTGCTGAATTTGGGAGACGTTAAAAATAGGACAGGATTCATCATGTGTAACTTGACTGTGTAGGAAAAAAAAAAACCCCAGAGGACGGCGGCGGCGCTGCGGCGGCGGCACAGATGACAAAAAGGAACATGTTCAGACAAAAGTCTGTCAAAGAGGGCGCTGTAACTAGAACCTGATCTTGAGCGCTAAATGACTGAAGTAGATGCTGGTTCAACTCCCGCTCCATTAAGCACTGGATTATTTTTTGTCATTTTGAAAGAACTTTCCTATAATTCAAATCTCAAGTCCTCGTCATTGAGTTTTTTTAAATACCTGAAAATCAATTCTATTCATGTTGAACTGTATTTTACTGAAGGGTTTATCAACCTGAAACTGAAGGACATGGAATATAATATAATATATAATTAAAATGTTCCAAAATGTTCGAGTGCAAAAGAAAAACTTTTTTTTTTTAATTTCTCCAAACAACATTGGAGTTCCATAGAATTTGAACCAAAAATGAGTTTAATCATTGAAGAGGGTGTGAATGAAAGACGGCTCAAGGATTCACTGCAAATATCATAACAAATGTGAGTTCTGAGGAATGATCCAGAAAAGAATTTTAAAGACTGAAATATCAGGAAATTGTGTTGGGTTTCAAAAACCAGTGGAAGGTTAAAAAAAAAAAAGTGGACATTAAGTTCCATTAAACTTAGTTGAAAGTTGAATGAGTTCACAGAGAGTTAAAAAAAACAGTCACCAGTTTCAGAATGTTAATGTTTGAATTATTTAATCAAGTTTTATTTAATCAGTAAAAAACAAATGTAAAAAAAAAAGTCTGCTGAGTTGGATGTTGTAAAATGTTATGGCCTGGTGGGGGGGTCGTTGAGGGGGGGTGGTTGGTCTGACAGGAGCTCATGTTGTGTTTTGTCCAGAAGGAAGGAAACACATGTCTGACCAATCAATGCCAAGATCTGATCAATCAGGCTTCACTGACAGACTGCTGCTGCTGCTGCTGCTGCTGCTGTTACTGCTGCTGCTGCTGCTGCTGCTGCTACTGTTACTGCTGCTGTTACTGCTGCTGCTGCTGCTGTTACTATTACTGCTGCCGGAGCACAGCTGCTAAATATAGATGGGACAGTCTGTCAGAACACAAACACTTGAAACACAAGTCCAAAGTAGAAGTTTGAAAAAAAAAAACCTGATATAATTTGTTTTTATTAACACAGATGAACCCGTGTTTGTCAGACGAGGGATGAAAGAAAATAGTTCAGTGACCAACATAATATATGCAGAGTATAAGCAAAAAAATTATAAATATGACAACGGATTTGACTTCAGTCATTTGTTTGATTTTCCAACAATTCACGTTTTTTAGAACTTTATTAAATTCTCTGTCTTTTGTTGTTTTTTTTTTCCTTTTCTAACAAACTTCCTGAC